CCTGAGTGTGACAGGGCGCAGGCCAGGCCGAGGGACCCCACTGGTGCACAATCGGGACTGGGGAGGGACACGGGAGGGCTCCAGGGCATGTCTGGCCCGTCTTGCTCAGTCCCAATTGGCCGGACCCCAGCAGCAAGCTAACCTACTGGTCGGAGCGTCTGCTCCCTGCTGGTCAGTGCATGTCATAGCGACTGGTCAACCAGTCGATTGTCTGCCCCCTGGTGGTCAGTGCATGTCATAGCAAGTGGTTGAGCACCCTTAGCATATCATTAGCATATTACTCCTTGATTGGTTGATCAGACACTTAGCATATTAGGCTTTTATTATATAGGATTCCAGGAGACTTTAGGAGAGTGGAAATGTAAAACCAGGCCTCAATCCTTCTTTTCTAATCTTCATTCTATAAAAGATACAGACATTATGTATAGACAGAACTAAGAGTAAAGGCTTTGTAGAAAGACCTCACTAAACGATGTTTTCATGATTGATTCAATTACTTCCACTGTGCACTCAAACAGCCATGTAGCAGCTCAGGAGCACATTAATTAGATATGGTCTTGGTTTGATAATTCACAGCCTGAGACTCAGGATCAAACAACAGCAACAACAGGTAAACTATTATGTCTTCTGCTTATTTGTTGTCCTGATGCCAAGTATTTCAGCGTTGAGGAAAAGGACATCCGTTATCATTTTCTGCTGATGCTCCGTCGTGATTGTTAGTGAGAGCAGGGTCTGGTACCATCTCATTTATGAGTCTGGGGTACTATTCGATACTCCTAATCAACATGCCAAATAATCAGAATTATTGTTTCTCTAGGGGCTTCCCTTAAAACAGGGGTGGGCAAACTTTTTGACTCGAGGGCCACAATGGGTTCTTAAACTGGACCGGAGGGCCGGAACAAAAGCATGGATGGAGTGTTTGTGTGAACTAATATAAATTCAAAGTAAACATCATTACATAAAAGGGTACGGTCTTTTTTTTTTTTAGTTTTATTCATTTCAAACGGGCCGGATCCGGCCCGTGGGCCGTAGTTTGCCCACGGCTGCCTTAAAAGAATCCTTCAAAGCAAGCACTCTAGAAAAAAAGCCTATCAGAAAATGCATACTCCTACTTTCTGCTAATTATCACAGTCAATAATCATAGAGGAAAATCTTGATTTTCAGATGGAACGTGTAGGCCTGAGATAATTATGTGGACATCTAAAACCTCAACTGCAAAGTGCAGGAAGTGACCTGTTGCTTTACATCAGAATCTAGGCCTCTAACAAGCTCCCTGGATCTTTGACTGTTAACCCTAAGCTCCTGCAAAGTATTTTGACCTGAGAGCTTTTGTGGGAAAAGATTCAAAGACTACAATAATGGGAGATTACAAGCATGTCTACATTTATTAACTTTCGTTGATGGAGGATTTGGTCATATTTCAAAATAATTAGGTATTCTTTCTACAGAAGGAGAGTAATCAAAATGGTCCTTTACATTTGCTTAGCTGTTAAGACATTGAATAAACTATATCCGTTATTTTGACAAATGCTCAAGTAAGGAAAATAGTGCCAATGTTATGACTGCATATCATGGTGATTAAGATAATGCTGGAGAGAGGGAGGAGGGAAGGAGGAAGATAGATATTGCAGAATAAAAATATGCTAATTTTAAATGTTTGAAATGTTCATCTTCATAGGATAAACATTGTGAAGGAAACAGTCTTATCAATGTTTCACCTCGGGTCATTTCTGGACTTTCTTGATAGCTGAAAAATGGAATCTAATTCACCTTACCTTTGTATTTGGGAATTTAATGATGGTTTCAGTCTCTCTGCTTGAACTTTTTTCAGTTTGTCCTCATTATCTAATGTTCTTCTGATGCATGTCATGCTTACAGAAATGGCAGTCTTTAATAGTTTTCAAATCATGACTCTTGCTTCTGGTCTTGTTAGTGAGATCATTGGGTTACTTCATCTCTGTCTTTCCTGATTGATTTTTCTCTTTTCAAAATTGGAACTCAAAATGTCCTGCTCTGTTGTGCAAAATATAGTGCCAATATAAAACGTGACCATGGCAAGATTGCTAGAGGATTTGGACTCTAAATGGAAAAAGCAGAAAGGCATTTTCCCCCCCATTTTTCACTCCTTGTGTCATCCTTCTGTGTATTTGGGATTATGTGTCTGGAATTGCTCACAGATATATCATATCCCAAATTCTTGGAGAATGATATTGCTTGGCCAAGATAGAATGTGCAGAAGATGAAGGGCTAAGATGAAGAGCTGGGTTTTAGAATTATAGATGCTCAGATTTGGAGATCTTAAATGGTCTAGTTCCATCATAACTTCTAATCATTTAATCTCTCACACAACTTTCCTCCTAAGTGATCTTTCTGATGATGGGGCACATCATTCTTCATGAAGAAGCTCCTTGTTGGGTAGTTCAGATTGTTAACGTTTTTAAATTCAACATCTGGAGGAATAGTCATCTCCCCCAAATTCTCACCACAGGTCCCAATTTAGCCTTTTGGGAGCACAGACAAAAAATTTAATTCCTTTTTTACATTATAGCCTTTCAAAATACAAAGACAGCTTTCATGCTCCTCTTGAGACCTCCCTGTTGTTTAGTTTTCTGACTTCACACAAGTCAAGATCTGTACAGCACAGTTTTTTCATCTTTGAGATGAGCAGCATGAATCAGATGAATTTAGGGTTCTTCTATCTCTGACATCCTATGAACTCCAATTGGGCCTCTGAAATAAATGGAACTTCTGTGCTTTTTCCCTTTCTTTTCTCCATCTATATCAAGTGTAGATAATTCTCTTGAGTAGAAAAAGAGTAAAAGCATATGCGATGCTATTTCTTAGGAACTGATAATTAACCTTTCAGCAATCCATTCAATTATGGTTGCAACAGCTTTGATGAGCACTAGTGGTACAACTCCCAAAACTACAACCAAGAGGCGAGAAGCTGAGGATTGGTTTTCATGGTTGTTTCAACCATCAGAGTCTAAGAACCATCTTCACACAACAACAGTAATGGCTGGTAATGCATTATTATTATCTCATTTCATAGGTTTTCTTGACAGTCTTCAATAATTCTCATTGACTTTGGGGATACTGTCAAAGTCTACAATCCATTCTGGTTTCACAAATGTTTTCAATGGTGTTAGAAGGATCATGAGCTCTGAGATCTATGTGTTTGATTTTATAGCACTATTAAGCACATTTCTTCTTTCCACTCTATAGAATTAAGATAGCCCAGGAGGAGGCTAATAAGGGGATTGTGAAAAGGAGCCAGGTATTTCTTGATGACAGACAAAATTTTGACTCTGAAAGGTATTCTACAATGATTAAAGTCATTTTACATTTTTTACTTTTCAGGAGGAAAAATACAATAGCCTAGCTAGAGCTAACAAAATATAGCAAATTTTGATCAGTGGAACTATTCTTGGGGTAGATACTAACAGATGAAAAGACAAATGTTCATTCCAAAAAGATAGTGTGAATCTGATTCAAAATGTAGGAAACCCTTTGCATAAGAGACGTCTTCTGCAGTAACCATGGATAAGAGGTGGAGGGTTTCCATCTTTCTTGTGATTGCTTCCAAAAGGAGAAGAGGGAGATTTCTCCAAATCCTGGCTACAGTCTGTCCACTTTAGACGATCAGAAGGGTTGACTAACAAATGCTAGCTATGACTTCTCTTAATTAACTGACTTTTCCATCGCTGTATGCTAAAGTGTTGTTGGGAACTGCAGTGTAGCTTTCATTTGCCTTTACAGTACACTGAAACGATGCTAGAGAAGATAAAAAATGAATTAGCAAATTGTGAATACAACTATGGGATTTTAGAAAAGACTGATGTATTTAGAGTCCAAGGGTTTTTGAAAGTAGCTTGACAAAGCAAATAGGCACATGTGAAACGTTTCCATTCTATTCTGGGAGTCCTGGCTTTAATGACATGTGCTTCATAAGTTAATAAGTGTCTCTATAAGCACGAGGGAGTGTTTATTGGCCTTTCATTTCTTTTACTTCTTTGGTTGGGTTGTGTCTATATTTATTCTTTAACTTCTTAAAGAGAATGTCCAGTTGTAAAGATAATAGAAAATTGTTTTTAGATCTATAGTTTAGCTTCAGAGACCAAGATATGATAACTTAGGGGTATATGCGTCAAATGTTTCACTTTCTTCTTATAATCTTGGGAATTCCATCGTACATTCTGTGCCTGATTTTCTTCCTTTGTCAAGTGGGTTACTTGGCATCCAGCTCAGCTACTAATGCAAATAACCACAACAGGTACGGATTCAAATATCATCACAGCAGGCTGGAAGCCAACTGAAGAAAATGAAGATGAAAGAGACAAACACCCCATTCATTCTGGATCAGGCATTGATGATGATGAAGATTTTATCTCCAGCACCAGTAAGGATAATCAATTACAGTAGAACCATTTATGCAAGGCTTACCAATTAATCTGAGTGATACCCAATAGTATCTCTTTTGGGAAACAGTTAATATGAACAATGAGCATAAGCCTCTGACCACACCTTGGTTATACCTTGATGAGATTTTAAAGGAAGAAATAGATTTTTTAATGGAAGCCAAACTGTATTTGGAGGAGAAATTGGAAAAACGTATTTTATAAAATTCCTAGTGCCTCATGTTCTTCCTATTTTATTTATGTGGTCTGATGCTACAGATTTTTTTTTGAACTATTGAACTTTGTCAGAAAATGGCACAGTAATATATAACAATAAATATTCATTGTGTAGTCACTGTGCTAGGTGCTGGTAACACAAATATGAAAAAAGCCAGAGCTCTTGCCTTCAAGGAACTTATGGTCTATCGAAGCGATGGACTTGAGAATGTGATTGGAAGGATAGTAAATCAAAGTTGTAGATGATCCTAAATTAAAGACTTAGAAAGACCTAGAAAGGCTTACACAATGGGAACTAGAACTCAAGAATTGTCTTAGTTAGTCAAAACCTGGTTGAGGTCAAGGGAATAAATCCAAAGTTTTAACAAACAAATTGGGCACCAATATAACAGAAAGATGTTAAAGCAAAGGACAAATGTCAGCTGAGCTTTAACAAAACAGTGCCAGTTATTAAGAACAAGTAGTGAAACCACTGTATAATAGTATTCAACTTTGTGACAACTATAAAACTTTTTGAGAAAAGAGATGGAATTGAGCTAAAAAATGTCCTTTAAAAATACAATGATTGGTCTAATATTCTGTCAGATGACTGAGTTTTCTATTCAGACCTGTAATGATCTAGGATATTGCCGAACAGACATGAGAATCCTGGACCAGATTTCCTAACAGCTTTGCTTTTCCTTAGAGAAGGTGTCCATTTAGGGTGCCACATGAGCTGTTTTGGGTTCTGTCCATTCTAATCTGAGAGTATCATCTCCAAATGGACAGCACTCAGGGAGGGAGAGATCCTCCCCCCACCCCCCCAAAATAGCTTAGGCCTTAAAAGCATCTAAACATATTGCATTGTTAGAACAAAAACTTGAGATAAACTAAATGCATTATGGTATACTCCTTAGCCTGGACACCTCTGCAGAGGTTAGTCTATGAAACAAGGAACCTCTTTCTAGTATCTTCAGGAAGAAAGCCAAATAACCAAAAACACTGGAGCTTTATTATTACCCTGTCTCCTGAGTTAGGATGTGGCCCCATCTTCCAGGTGGGGCCACCAACAAAGAGATGGTCTTGAAACATGAGAAACTAAACACTGTTTGGGTGGCAATCCAAACAGATGGACCTAAAAATAAATTGTATGATCACACCCCAGAGGAAAACTTCCCTTGATATTTTTCATCTTTGTGGTATATTTTCCAATTTCATTTCACTTTTCTGCTTGGCACCTGTGCACATAATTCAACAGGATGCCTCTCTCTTCTGTAAGGGTGTGAAAACTGCCACTTCTTTTATACGTATTGCGAATGTGGTCAATGATACTAAACCTGATTTTCTTAACTTGTGAAATAGAGATGATAGTAGTATAGTTCTGAAAAGAGTTTTGTATTATTTGGGTATTAATATAAAGTTTGAAAGAACAGGGTGGATTTGCCAATAACCTTTTCACAAAAGACATTGATTCTGATTTTGTTATAATCCTTCTGTCGGGTGTGTCTCCTATTCTAGCCCTATCATTTGGGTGACAGTATCAGAGCATTGGTGGATATATGACTCTTTCTTTCTTTTTCCCCCTGGGGAGCTGCTGTGATGGTGGTGGTTGGTTCCCTATGGTGTTTTCCTACTGAATCTATTCGCCTTGTTCTCTGCTCCCCCCGCCGTCTCCTCCCCCCTCCCCCACCAATGGCTGTGAATGGCTTGCTGGTTAAGTGCTTTGTATTTGATGAGCATATCATAGGTGTTTGATAAATATTCAGAAGTGTATAGCTAAATCATATGGCTGTTATGGGTAGATAATCTTTCTTAGAATCACCTATAGGAAAGTTCTGGATGCCCAGAGTATTTCTTTCCCCACCAAAACTAGAAATGAAATAAAGTGATCATCATGGTATAACTTCCAGGTACCTACCTCTTCATCCTGAGGATCTACATGTAGTGCGCTTGCCAGTGATACAAATTCCTTGGGCTTTCAAATGCAAAGGGACATTACCGACTGCATGGATGGGCAACGCTCTGCCGGTCTTTGGTTATCCTCGGTGGAGGGCTGGTGTTTCCAAAGCTTTCTTCTTCCTGCTGCAGCTTCTTTGGCTGCTTTCTCCAGAAGATCTCATGTTCTGGCCCCAAAGTATTCTATGACAGAATGCAAAGGACACTGAGATGCTTAACAATATGGCTGGACCAAGCCGAAGGCCCTCTCTGCTTTCCTTCCATTTCCACTCAACCATCTATACAAACTGGTATAGATGATTCACTGGACAGACCAAAGAAGGGGGAAAAGTGCAAAACAGGTGGTGAAGGCTCAAGAAATACCATTTTCCTAATAACTTCATCATCATTACCACAGTTTCAACCACACCACGGGTTTCTGACCACTCAACCCAGAACCGGAATGGGAGCCAGTGGAGCCCAGGCTTTTTAAACCCAGAAGTATCACTTCAGACAACCACAAGGATGACTGGTAATGGGATATGCGTTCTTAATTAAAGATATTTTTTCCCTCAAAGTCTATGATGCTGCAAAGGTCAATTGACAGGACACAGTGGGAAATTTAGTTAATATCTCATCACAAATTCTTAGAGAACTTTCATGACGATACTCAGTTCAACTTAGGGGTCATTTATCAATCATACCATCTGGGCACAAGATATTTTATGTTGCTCCATTATAAGAATGAATACATTAAAATGGTTTATGGTGTTGCCCTTGAGAAAGTGGTTATAGTGGAATAAGAAGTCATCATTAAGAAATTCCGTGCCCAATGGTTTCTTTCCTTGCGAGAGATTAGTGAAGTCACTCAGAAGTATTGATAGTAGATGCTCAGGCATTGAACTCTTAAATATCATGTACTTTAATGGAAGAACAGAACCATCAATTTGGTTGATAAAAATTTACAGTGTATATAAACATCATCACAACAGATGTGGACAGAAGTGGCACCAGTGATTATGGAGAAAACTGGACCCAGGAGGCACAGTCTCCTCTCACTCACCATGAACATCATGACGAAGCGGCGACCCAGCATTCTGCAAGCACAAGTAAGAAGGATGGTGGTCAGCAGTTCTGGGTGCGATGAGCCAGTGAAGTCATTCCAAAGAATAGGGAAGACTATTTTTAGACATGGCCACATCTTCTATTTCCACACAGTACATTTTTTTAAATCCCCAGAGCATGAAGAGCTGTCAAATCTGCACACCAGTTTTAAAAATTGGAAGAAAAATGCTAACTTGCCAGGTTGCCCCAAAAGACAACATACTTAAAAAGTGAAACTTAAAAAATATCTGAGATGAGGTTTTTGTGTCAAAGATTCCTAGAGGTTCCAGTTGGGTGACTCGTATGTATTTATGAAAATGTATAGTGAAGAGTGTATTCTGTTGGTGCTTAGTAGTGGCACCTTGAAAGAAAGCTTGACTGGTGCCATGGTCTTTGGAATCCTATTTTCTATGAAGTCTCTTACGAATGCAGTGTCTTCTTCACATTCTCTTCCTCACTGCATTATAGAAAGGCATCTCTGTACTCCTTGGAGGAGAGTTAATAGCTCAGATGGTCTAGATATGAAAACTATGCCTGTTCTCTCTCTGTCTTTAAGCCCAGGGTAACTTGGGGACTTATTTTCTGCTATTAATTCTACTTATGTGCAAATATCTCAGGTTTTCTAAAACACTCTCTCAAGTCTCACTCACTACTAGACGATGAGGAAAGGACAAAAAAAATAGAAAGTATATATTCTTCTTTCATCTGTTTCTTGGAGAGATGCCTAACATGTTTGGAATAAAAAAGTCTCACGCACTACTAGACGATGAGGAAAGGACAAAAAAAAATAGGAAGTATATATTCTTCTTTCATTTGTTTCTTGGAGAGATGCCTAACATGTTTGGAATAAAAGAAGCTTTAATTTAGGATAACAGCTTGTAGCATTTTTAAAACTACGCCTCAACCATCATTCTCATAGCCTTGGATATTCCTAAAGCAAAAATGTAAGAAACATCCACTTAGACTTTAATTCAGCTTGTAGCATTTTTAAAACTATGCCTCAACCATCATTCTCATAGCCTTGGATATTCCTAAAGCAAAAATGTAAGAAACATCCACTTAGAATCCAAAGGGAGAAGCCAAAGGGGTTTGGGAATCCATGGTTTGAGGGATGTTCCTCAGACAACAAAAGAAACATTTTAGACCTCAGCTAAGACATAGGTTAATAAGTCCTAGATATTGCACTGAATATGTCCAACATGCCTACACCTCACTACTTACCTGATAGATTTGCTACATGCATGAGCAGACATCAGCTAAGATATAGGTTAATAAGTCCTGGATATTGCACTGAATACATCTAACATGCCTACACCCTCACTACTTACCTGATAGATTTGCTACATGCATGAGGATTATGGGATGAGTTAAGAACAGAGTTTTCTGATAGAAGAAGGAAATAAGAAGTCGACTCTTCAGAATGGGATTCTGTCAAAAAAATAAATAATTACAGATTAAAAAAAAACACATGCAAGAATAAACAAACAAAAAACAGAATGGGATTCTGCACCAGTCCTCTTTGGGACCCAATACTATATTTTAGAGATTACTTTAGACAATTTGTACTTGAAAAGCAGAAAGCTACTTAAAAAGCTTAGAATTCATGAGCCTATTGTCAAAAGGTGGTGGTGGGGGGTGAGGGGGTATCATTACTGAAGGGTAGTTAAAAAACCAGACACAACAGAACCTCCCAGAGGGAAAGCAGCACCAGCCTCAGCAATTCTTTTATCAGCACTTGCAAAACAAAGAGATTCTGGTGGTGACCTCTGGACTTTATCAAGGGAATATTACAGCACAATAGACATTTCAAAGAATTATGTGGCTGTGTCACAGGTCTAAGGAAAGGCCCTGGGGAAAACTGATAAAGCCCTTGAGTGTTATACAGAAATGACCCTCTTTTTGATTATAGTACAAAACTCAAATATGAAGTAAGGATGTGATTATTTAAAAATTGGAAAAATTATGCAAAGATCCAAACATTTAATTTATTCTTGTTCTAGGAATTTGCATATAGTTAAATAAATGTAAAAAGTCTTATTGAATAAGAACATTACACCTAGAAGAAAGTCAACCTTCACATTTTACAGTGGAAATCCTACTCGGTTAACCCCTATGTTGAAAACAACAGTAGTGTTACTGGGTATTTAAAGGATCATTTTGTTTATAAAGATAATGAATCCTACTCGTTAACCCCTATGTTGAAAACAACAGTAGTGTTACTGGGTATTTAAAGGATCATTTTGTTTATAAAGATAATGATAGAAGACATATAGAGTAGTGTGTGTGCGTGTGTAGTGTATGCTCATGTGTGCGCGCATTTAAAAACTTTGAATCGACAGATTATGTTTGGGTGAAATGTTCTTGTTTATAATTGCACTCAGTGGTTTTTCTCACTTCATTACTTGTCAGGAGGCAGTGATTCAGTCAGTGGAAGTAAAACTTAAGATTTTGAGGTCTTTTTCCCTCCCAACTGATAACAAGTGAACCTCAGTGCTAGGATAGAACGAAGACAATAAGCTTTCTTTCTTTCTTTCTTTCTTTCTTTCTTTATTTATAACTAGGGATCAAACCTACAACCCCAGCATGTGCCCTGATCAGGAATCAAACCATCACCTCCTGGTTCATAGGTTGATTCTCAACCACTGAGCCACAGGGCTGGGCAATAAGTTTTATTTTTATTTTTTTTGTTAATCTTCACCCAAGGATATTTTTCCATTGATTTTTAGAGAGAGGGAAAGACAGAGAGAAACATTGATGTGAGAGAAGCACATTGATTGGTTGCCTCTTGCATACGTCCAGAGCAGGGCCCAGGCTGAGAAAAGCCTGCAACCAAGGTACATGCCCTTGACTGGCGTCGAACCTGGGACCCTTTGGTCTGCAGGCTGATGTTCTATCCACTGAGCCAAACTGGCTAGGGCAATAAGTTTTATTTTTAAAATATTTTTGCTACTATAAAATTACACATATTTTCTAAAATATTGAAATTCAATCAGTTCTACAAATTGCAAAGTGTACTTCAACTTGGCCAGTTTATAAACTCTCTTTTTCTTGAGAACTAAAAATTTGCTATTAGTTGCCTTAGAAGAAAATGTAAGTGCCTTTCTAATTTCCCTGTTGGCATCCTGATATAATTTCATTCTATTCATTTTGTCCTTTTAAAACTGGACAATTACAAAACAAAGGTTGAAATGTTAAAGCTGTCACACATTCCTATTGTGTATATAATGCCAAACTAGCGAGAATAATTTTCTTCCATTGAATAAATTTTGTTAGAAAGTAAATTTTTGTTAGAAAATTTAGTTTTGCTGAAAGTGTGGCAATTTTACATGCCACATAGGTATAACCTTACAATGTGCCAGTGGAGGGGAATCCCAGTCATTCCCAGCATCTTCCATGCTGGGCAAATCCACTGCTGGTGCATTTCCAGTGCCTGTGATGATGGGTCACATGACCACCATTTCAGAAGGCCTCCTACTGGGCTCTTTTGTCATCTATTGTTAATACTAGAGGCCCGGTGCATGAAATTCATGCACAGGTAGGTTTAGGGCCAATCAGGGCCTTCTGGCTGCTGGCCGGAGCCTTCCTTCGTTCTGCGCCACCCTGTGATGGTCAGCATACATCATAGTGAGTGATCGAACTCCTGGTCTCCCAGTCGAACTCCCGAGGGGATACTTTGCTTATTAGCCTTTTAGATAGATAGATAGATAGATAGATAGATAGATAGATAGATAGATAGATAGATAGATATAGATATTCCTTGTAATAAAATCACTGGAGCAAAGATTTGAATGATCTGAGCAATTCTCTCAGACAAGATCTATGAAGTCATAGACTCTAGTAAAATAAGAATAGTGGAATTTATAATCCATGGTATAGTTCTGACTGTGCCAATCTGGCTATATGACTTTGAGCAAATCAAATCTTCTTTGGGCCCTAGTTTTCCCATCTGAAAAATTAAAAGATTGAGCCATTTGATTTCTAATACCCCTTTTGGACTACCAGTGATATCTCAATCTCTCTCTCTCTCTCTCTCTCCTTCTCCCTCTCCCTCTCCCTCTCCCTCTCCCTCTCCTTCTCCCTTTCTCTCCTGCTTTTCTTTTCTGCCTTCTATCCCACGTGTATATGTAAAGTAGAAAGATATTTGTTGGTGAGGAAATTGAACAATAATGGCTCATAGTTGAAATTCTTCACACAGCCCAGGCAGACCCTAGTAGTGCAACAGCAGAAATAACTACCCAGAAAGAGCAGTGGTTTGCAAATGGAGGGCATGGGGAATATCTCCAAACGCCCAAAGAACTCTTATTCAATAGCAGGGACAGCTGGTAATGGATGGTTTAACAAGTAAGCTTGGGTGGAAACTTTCTCTTGGGTTACATGTTGAACATTGAGAACATTGAACAAATAAGATATTGAAGGAATTGTCACAAGATGTTAATTTTCCTTAATAAGTTATGGTATGGTCAACACAGAGCCATCCCTTAAATGCTTGTAACAAATCCCCATAAAGGAGACACAGACAATATGCCCTTGTGTATGGCATTTTCAGATCTAGTTTGGGGCATTCCCTGGTAAGGTTGTAGCAGAGACTCTGATCTTATAAAATACTCCCTTTGGTTTTATAAATGAATCTACTCTATGATGTGGGTCCACACTTTACAGCATGGTTCTATAAAATTCTGGGTTTGTGAAGAAACATATGGTCAGAACCCCAATGTTTGAAGAAATGAAGCCAGAGATCTTGATAAAAATACCTGTCTGATGTCATTTGGCCCTTTTGCCATGTCTGTTTGGAGATTTCTCCTTGATTATACAAGTTTTTCCCCCCTAGATTTATAAAACAAATACATTCTCTATTCTTGAATTGTGGGATTGTGCAAATTGGACTCAAGTCTTGTCACCATGTCTAAGTGAGGCCTGATAACTTGACTCTGCGAGCTCCTATGCATGATTCTTTTGTCTGCATCACAGAAACATTGAAATACACCCTGCCTTGTAAAAGAACATGAGTTCCTTTTAAGAATGATATTTTCACTTGGTGTCAGTGAGAGATATCCCCATGTTTCCATTGGCGATGCGATATGGAATATAATGCATAATGTACTTCCTGTGTGTGGCAACTCCTGAATGCATTCCTGGCAGAGCAACGGATTCAGTGACTGGCTATGTGGTGTGGTTGGTTGTTGCTAAAGGGCTACTGTTGTAATCTTTTCTACCTATACTTCTTCATTGGCACGGGATGAAGCAAAAGCATGTGCTACAATTCTTACATGTCATTTATGCCATAAATCTCATTGTTAAAAGGTAACGCTTCTAAATTTTAAAAAAAAATGTAATGCTTCTAATGGATTTCATTCATGCTTTTGAGATAATGGCACTTATTTTTATGTTTATCTCATGAGAAGCTGTTACCCGATTCCTTCTCTAACTCACTACCACCCTAATGTGCATTTCACTAGGATGTGGTTGTCTCGGAATGACATCATGTGCTTGGACTCTTATACTTCCTCCTTTGGGGGATGGTGGCGACCTGGCATGGGTCAAGAACTACTTTTTCATCTTCACTTGATGTCTGTAACTCATCTCCTGTCCACTGGAGAAGTCATTAATGCTTTTGTATCCTTCAGTTCACATGCTGCTTGCTAAGAAAAGGAGCATAAATGAACTATACCTGCTAAAACATTCTGTGTTTATGCAACTTCCTGGCCCTCGATACCAGGAAGATGTTTTCATTGTCTTATTCAGATAAAAAAAAGTACATTTTTTAAAAAAATCAGTGTATCCCTGGTCAGATGTCAACTAACACTTTGACAATTGCTTGAACTGCATGGTCACACCAGTCTCAGCCCACGACACCCATCCAAATCAGAGAACGACAACACCGAGTGAAGAGGACAGTTCCTGGACTTATTTTTTGGACCCAATCTCACATCCAATGGGACGAGGTCATCAAACAGAAAGCAGAATCGGTAATAGCCTCTGAGCCTTTTTATATTATGTTTTGGCAAAGCCTATAAATGGCTATTTTCCTAGAAATAAGCCCTTGGTTTTAGACCACTCTACTTTCCTAAGAAGGAAATTGAAGTTTCTTCAAAAATTTGCTTCCTTTGTAGAAGTGATATGCCCATTTATCTGAATTTGAAGTGCTGAGCTGAGAGTGAAGAATTTGGCAGGAGAGTTAAAGGAGAATTGGTCCTAAAATGAGAGGAGTGAAAGTCATTTTCTCTGAAGAGGGAGCAGTCTCAAGAGTCCTTTTTCATTTACTCCTAAGTGCAGGGCTTTTAAAAGAGTAAAGTGATGGATTCAGGGACTATTTCCACTGCAGACTCAAAGATATAACTTGTCTCTGGTAGAGAAATCTCAGAGGTAAAAAAAAATTGGTGAGTGCTCCTTCTGAAGAAATAATGAAAAAGCTCAGAAAACTTTATTGTTTACTCTTACCACATTTAGAGATAAATATGGCACCCTGTGACCTAAGATTTAGACCACTCTTGGCCCTCGATTAATGTTTGTGAATTTCATAAATGGACACAGGATGAAATCTCTGTTTTCTTAAACATCATTCATCTTTACCTATAAGCAATTAAAAAACAGAATTAAATGAGAGAGAGAGAGAATAAAAAAGATATTGGCTGTAGCTCTGTAAGAATGGAGGGTTGTGATTTTATTTGACCAGTTTTTATATTTAAAAAGAAGTCTTCCTTTATCGGAACAGATGACAACTTTCCCTAGGGAATCTGCAAGAGCTGGAGGCAGATGATGCCCTTTTCTCAGGCTTCACTAACTTAAAGAATCCATGTTCCTTCTTATACCCATGAAGAGTTACTCAAGTTTTGCTTTGTTCTTTAACAAAATGCCTTGGTCACAGAAATGTAACATTCCAAAAAGGGAGATAAATCAAAGAACCAATATGGGGCTGTGAATTATTACTCATAGCGTTGTGTAATCTGGATCCAAGCTACGAAGGGCATGCATAATATGAACTTTATTGAAATGAGTTCCAAGAGCACAATGACCATGTTTCTTGGTAGTGAATTGAACAAAGTTATCTCCAAAATGAATTGAACAGTTTTTATGGTTTCGTATCTTTAGAACCCCCTAACTGTGTCATTCCCAAATACTAATGAACAGATATTGCCAAATTACTAGTGATTAAAAACAACATTGGCATTAAATATTGACTAATGTGCAAGGCATTGTGGAGCCACAACAATGTACAATTCATGGTCCATGCTCTTAAGGAACTTAAAATTTAAGTAGGAAAAGAAAACATTTAGCACCAAAATATATCTAACAATACGAGAGAGCAAGTAGTAGATGTCAAGTGAATGTTGCCAACAATAACACCAGAGAAATTCAGAGGACCCTCCAGGGAGCATCAGAGAAAGGTGGATTGGATCTGGTTTTTGGAAAATGGGGGGAAATCCTGGATAGTCAGAGAAAGAAAGTCAGGGAAAGTTTTTGTAGGAAAACTCGTATAAGAAGAAGCATAAAGGAAGGAAAACCAAGAAACAAATTTGTTAGAGTGAACCGATCCACTTGTCATAAAGGAAGATGAGTTTGAATGGCGAGGCTGTGGTCATCATGTTGAGTGGCTGAAGTGCCACATGCAGACCGCACACATGTTTATGCATGTGGCTGCTGGAGGCTCTGATTATATAATACTAGTGGAAAACCAAGCCACAGTGAAAGAACTTCAGAACCAGTATTAAGTCTCCATACTGATGAACAGAGATTCCATTAAATTGATGAACATGACAAGGACAATCACATTGGCTCAAACTATAGAACAGTGTGATACCTCATGAAAGATTCTACTGATAACAGGGAAGGTAAACAAGAGTCTCTAGAGACCATCAACAGACAGGACTTTTTCTGGGAAAATAGCCATTAGGGGTTTTGATTTGGGTTAGCTAGCCTTTCCCCTTTTTTGAAATCTGGGATTTTTTTCCTCCAAAGATCTTGATTTTTCTTTTCTTTTGTATGTAAGGGCTGCAGTGTAGGTATGGGTGCCCAATATTCCATTTTTTTTCCCTCTGGAGTCATCTGGAACTGATTAAATCCCTCTAGAGGCAGACAGTGTGGGTGGACTTTGATCGGAAAGCCAACAATAGTGATGGTGTTTATAGGTTATTTGGCCTTTACTTCACTCAGGACTTGTTATTTCAACAGAATTGATTTGTGGTCATCATTAAAAAAGCATTTGTAAATATTTTAGTGAAATTTCTGTACCGCTCAACATTGTACATATTAATTTCCAAAGGCATCACATATCTGTGTTGACAGGATAACTGATTCACTGATATCCATGGCTTCTTATTCCTTGCCCCTGAATACTTCCTGTGGCTTCTACTTAGGTAGCAGTGGGTGATGAGTTTATGTTTTATTGCATGTTCCCTTTATAAAGTGGAAGAGACCAAAGGAGGGAAGAGGGCTGATAAAAAAGTTATTTTGCCAAGTAAGGGTGTGTGTGTGACAGAATAATGCCTGAACCAGCACACTCTGTCCTTTCTCCATGTGTCAGATCCCATGTGTCTATAAGAAAGGCAATGTGTATGGAGTGGGACAAGTCACACTGGTTTATGTGTGTGTTTCTGCAAGGTTTGAGAGGCCCATCATGTGTTCATGAAGTCCTTTCAGACTCGGCAAAAATAAGCAAAACATTGTAGCTTTCCTAGAACTCAACCTTTCAATGCAAGCCAGTTACTTCTTGGGATCTTTTGAAGAAGCCATAATCTACTCCAATTCTGGAGACATGAATCAGTATGTGCTTTCTTTCCTTTTATCCAGGTTTGAATATAAGAATAATTTGGCTCTAGATCATCAACCACCGTCAGGTAGTGGTTTAGGAAATCCAACTATAACAATGATTTAATTCCTTCAGATATGGACTCCAGCCATAGTACAACACTTCAGCCTTCTGCAGATTCAAACACACATTTGGCGGAAGACTGGGACAGGACAGGACCTCTTCCAATGACAACTCGTAAGGATAACGACACTCAGCCCTTTATTGACTTGTGTTCCTGCTTCAGTTCTTGCTCACACTGGCCCAGATCCAGAGCTTGGTGGTGGAATGGTTTTTGTGGCTCAGTCTTTATTTCTTCTATATTTTCTTGGTGGAGGTCTTTAAATGTGATTTTTCCTTTATTCTTGGTACTTTCCAGAGTCAATGACTTTATGTTTAAAAAAAAAAAAAGTGCGACTCCATTCAACTTGATTTTCCTTCCCTAAGTAGTTATGGTAGTGTCATCCAAGACCATGGCTAGAACAGTGATTTTTCTATGTTTTAACTGACC